ATGTTTTTGCTATAAGTTTATATATAAAAAACACTGTATATATAAAATATGTAACAAATCGGTTGACTGATATTAATCTATTTAGAAATTTCTCATGAACGCATAATAGATTGCATATTTTAATGTAATAGAGAGCTTTTTTTATAACCTGAAAAATAATAAAAATGCTTAAATATTATCGAAACTTTACTGTTGACGCAGTAGTGTTACATAAAAATTTTACAAATTGATTTTGCGAATTGATTTTCATTGGACTATATCAGATACTGTACATATAGATTTGATTTACACAGGTAACAGCATCACGCGACTACATAGAAAATTGTAATATGCATAAATGGTATACAAATATATATAAAGCGTTAACCTTGTAGAAGTTTTAATATATATAGAATAGAAGAATAGATTATTTATAATAGGTTTAAAAATGCATCGACTTAATAAAAATTTTTATACTTTTCCTTTTGACCAAAAAATGCTAAATACGAATTTTATTTAAAATTTCTAAAAATTTTAAATATCAATTTCAGGGTGCGGGTAATACAAATCCAAAAAGGGAAATTAGCCAATCGGAGAACATAAAATGTGATTATCCTGGATCAGTCTGACACATGAGTGAGGGCGTCACTAGAGATGGGAACCGAAACTAATTTTTTAAAACCTAAAGGTTTCGGGTTTTAACTATCTGAATCAAAACGCTAAACAAATTCTGAAATTCAAAACTAGTGCCAAAATCCCAAACTAGTGCCAAAATCCCAAGCTAGTGCCAAAATCCCAAACTAGTGCCAAAATCCCAAACTAGTACCGAAATTCCAAACTAGTGCCGAAATCCCAAACTAGTGCTGAAATTTCAAACTAGTGCCGAAATCCCAAACTAGTGCTAAAATCTCAAACTAATGTTAAAACCTTAAACTTGGTTTCTCGAAATCTAAACTAATACTGAAATCCCAAACTAACAAATAAATTTCAAGAATTCAATTTATTATAAGCTATATACATCATATAATTAGAAATAATATACATTTATAATAAATAAACACAATTGTTTTTACTAAATAATTGTAAAAATAAAATTATTATAATAAGGATGCAATATATTGCACCACGCAATAAATTAAAACTTCTGTTATTTAGGAAAAAAAAAAGAAAGAAAATTCGCTCATATTGTAAAATAACAAATATGACAAATATTTTAAAATGTGCATGTATACCATCTCTATCACTTGCTTCATCAACATGGCAGCCTCTTCAACAGTAGCAACAAACAGATCTTTAGCTTGCTTGACTTCCAACCTGATAACCTTTAGTCTTTTTTGTCAGATTTATACATATTTTTCACTGCATCAAAAGAAAGCATGCAGACCTGACATGAATTTATATGTAAAAAAAGGCCAATAAAAATTTAACAAAATTTCTGAATCTATTTTATATCGACACTCTCCAATACGGCCGGAGATTCTTCTATGTTATAAACATCAGCATTAGGATTTTAAGTAATAGTTCTTAATTGGTCAAAAAGGTTGTTTTAAATTTTCACAAATGATTGTCGAATTTGGTTCGAACAATCATAAGATATATTCGTGTAAATATGTGTTACTTGGAGTAATTTTCTGTAAACCTATCCAAGTTGTCAATGTACTATTAAAGTGTATAAAAATAACTATCGATCTAAAATAAATACTTTCAAAATAAATTATTTACTCTTAAAACAACCTAAATATATGCTAAAGTATAAATTTTAATTATTAAAAAACTAACAAATATGCTTATTTTGTAAATTCAAGCTTTAAGAAATATTATACTATTACAATACCTTAAAATGAATTAATTGCAATATAATGAAATACAATCTAATTGTCTAAATAAGTAATTAATCAAATATTAGATTTGTCAATAAAACTAGAAAATAAATAAACCGGTTATCTTATTTGATCTATATACTTACTTTCAAAATTGATTAATAAATCAGTTTCATGTTTATTTTCCTGTAACAAGGATTTATACAATCTATTTCTTGTCCTTTCTGTAAAAGTATAAAAATTAGAGTAAAAATTTTGAGTTTCTATTATATGCGTATTCTTTATTTATATAGAATATATCTAAAATATATAAAAAACACAATATTCTAAATTATAAAGGACAAATTAAGTATCATAAATTGATAGAATTATACTTGCCCTTTTATAAAAAACTTCCTAGTCAAGAATTTTAATAGATCAGATAATTTTGATCCAAATCGTAACTTATTATTACGCTTAATTTAATACAGCAACACTATTATATACAAAGTTTTTAGAAATAATAAATAAATTATATATAATAAACCAAACAAAATATAATTTAATTTTATACATACCAATGCTTCTAACGTAAGAATAGTTAATCTATATGAGAAATAGGCTACTAATATAATAATTTTTCAAGTAAATGCTTGAGATTAGCATCGAAATTGATTTATTATGTAATGATTATAATGAAAATTCGCACGAAACAAAAGCAAAAAAAATATATATATATGCAAAATTGCATGTACAAAAAAAAACATGATAACAAAAAACTTATTGATATTCATATCAATAACTTTCTAAAGCAAGTTTGATCATTTTTCATTTACTAATCTAAACTATAAATGGTCAAGATATCTATATTTGTGCTGTTATTATAAATTTCGTTATAATTTTGTGCTAGTTCAAAAACATTTATGCTAATTTAGCTGGATCATAATCTTCTTCTTGATTAAATTCTTCTAACCAGTTGCTTGGTCCTGCATCATTATCATCTACAATATCTGCTTCTGATTGATTGCTTGTTTTTGTTCGAAATGATGAATTCGACAAATCTAAAGTATTGTCTAATTCAAAAAACTCTTCTGAAACATTATCATCATCGTCATCAGTATTAGACTGGTTAATATTAATAGTCATTAAAGCTTGCTCAAAGACAATATTATTAGTTTCTTCATAAAGATCTGCATTATATAATGTCCTTTTAATATCATCAATAGGTTTGTCTATACTATAGTGTGGCAATTTAAATTTACTGTTAGCAATATAATATGATCGAATCTGAGCAATCGCATCCAAATTCTCAACTGAGAGATTCATACACTGCTTCCTATATATCCAACCACAAATTGACCAAATACATTCACAATTGGCTGCATGTATGAAACAGAAAACAATTTAATAGCCAATAACTGA